ATATTCAATTCTCTCTCCAGCCCTGCTACCTCCTAGGAAAGTAGCAGGAGCCAAGGGGCCAGTCCTTTTACAGGCTCCTTTCTCTGTAACTCACATACAATGTAAGGAAAAGCTAGGAAGCTATTCCGAGCATCCTAGGAAATTTGCAGATGGGTTCCAGACTTTGACCTGACCCTTTGCTTTCTCATGCAGGGATGTTCAATTCATTCTAGCAACCTGTTATACTCCCTTAGATGTAAGCTCCAAAAGCTACAGATGGGCCACAAACTAATCAAAATCAGCTTCTTGATATCACCATTATGGTGTATAACAATCATGACCTGAAGGAAGGAAAAAGGGAACAGAATAAATAGCTAGCCAAAATTATGGCAGCCATCATTGGCAAAGCCCTGAATGTCCAAAAAAATGTCTAACGGAAACCCGAAGGGCCATAAAGATAATGCCAGCAAAGGTTCTTGCTTCAAATGCAAGAAAAGCGGGCATTAGGGAAAGGAATGTATTAAGCCCCCCCAACCCTGGCCCCTGCTGTCAATGCAAAGGCACCAGTTGTGGCCCTGGCACTGGAGAATTGACTGTCCGTGCTCCCTGCAAGAGGGTCAGTCAAAACTCTAGCGGTGCGAAAGGAGGAATTAGATGAAGACCCAAGGGGCCCAGGGTCTTCCTCACTGCCCTGGTCCAGGAACATTGTAATCACTACTGAGGAGCTCCAGCTAACTCTAGACGTCATGGATACCCAAATTTAGTTTCTTTTTGACGAGGGGGGAGTTACTGTGTCCTTACTGCTTACACAGGAAAGCTTTCCTCCCAGCCCATAAGTGTTATGAGAATGGAAGGGAAGCCACAAACAAGTTCATTGTTTTTTGGTTTTTTTTAAATGTTACTTCAAGTTCAGGGATACATATGCAGAATGTGCAGGTTTGTTATATAAGTTTACACATGCCATGGTGGTTTGCTGCACCTATCAACCCATGATCTAGGTTTTAAGCCCCACATGCATTAGGTATTTGTCCTAAGGCTCCTCCCCCACTTGCTCCCCACCCCGCAACAGGCCTTGGTGTGTGATGTTCCTCTCCCTGTGTCAATGTGTTCTCATTGTTCAACTCCCACTTATGAGTGAGAACATGCAGTGTGTGGTTTTCTGTTCCTGTGTCAGTTTGCTGAGAATGATGGTTTCCAGCTTCATCCATGTCCCTGCAAAGGACGTGAAATTCTTTTTTATGGCTGCATAGTATTCCATGTATATGTGCCACATTTTCTTTATCTAGTCTACCACTAATGGGCATTTGGGTTGGATCCAAGTCTTTGCTATTATAAATAGTGCTGCAATAAACATACATATACATGTGTCTTTGTAGTAGAATGATTTATAATCCTTTGGTTATATATCCAGTAATGGGGCTGCTGGATCAAATGGTATTTCTGGTTCTAGATCCTTGAGGAATCACCACACTGTCTTCCACATGGCTAAACTAATTTACACTCCCACCAACAGCATAAAAGCGTTCCTATTTCTCCACAGCCTTGCCAGCCTGTTGTTTCCTGACTTTCCAATGATCACTATTCTAACTCACGAGATGGTATCTCATTGTGGTTTTGATTTGCATTTCTCTAACGACCAGTGATGATGAGCTTTTTTTCATATGTTAGTTGGCTACATAAATGTGTTCTTTTGAGAAGTGTCTGTTCGTATCCTTTGCCCACTTTTTGATAGGGTTGACAAACAAGTTTATTTACTCCTCCTTTGATTTGTCAATTGGAGAAACAGCTCTTCCAACAGGAATTCCTAGTAGTACCAAGCTGCCCAATCCCCCTGTTGGGAAGAGATATTATGGTTAAAATAGGGGCACTACTACAATTTAAGCATCACCCAGTGAAAATGCTGATAGTTCAAAAATACAATGTTCCAGACCACATTAATAAACAGCTTAACCCATTGGCATTGGTATACTGGAAAACTAGGGGAGGCTAAAACAGCAGGGCCAGTCAAAATACAGTTTGAAGACCTCAGCTACTTTCCCAATCGAAAACAGGAAGCAAGAAAAGGCCTAGGACCTATCGTTGAGGTGTTACTTATTATATTGTCTCCTAAAACCATGTAATTCTCCTTGCAATACCCCCATCTTACCCACTGTAAAGCCTTTGGGGGAATACCAGTTAGTATATGACCTCAGAATAATTAATGAGGCTGTTGCTCCCACCTACCAACTGGTGGCAGATCCATAGGCCCTTATGGCTCAGGTACCAGGGGATGCAAAATGGTTCAGTCCTAGACCTAAAAGATGCTTTCTTCTCCATTCCTCTGGCCCCAGAGTCCCAATACCTCTTTGCCTTCGAATGGGAAGATCCTAATACCAGGGGAAAACAATAATATACTTGGACAGTGCTCCCTCAGGGCGTTGAGGATAGCCGCCACTTCTTTGCCCAAGCCTTAGAGAGGGATCTGAGGGATCTGAAATTGAAAAACAGGAGTATACTCCAGTATGTGGATGACCTTCTTGCGTGTAGCCCAACCCAGGAGGTTTCTGACCAAACTACTATAAAAACTCTGAATTTCTGGTCAGATAGGGGATACAAAGTGTCCAACAAGAAGGTACAGATCACCCTTCAATGGATGCAATACTTAGGGTATGTCTTAACACCCAGAGCCTGACAAATATCCCCAGAACGAGTGCAAGCCACATGTGGTTTGCCCCCTGCCACCCCCCTCCCCAAAACACATACACCAAGTAGTAGCTTTGTTCTTTTTCGGGAATGGTGGGGCTTTGCAGAATATGGGTACCAAATTTCATACTCATAGCAAAGGCCCTGTATGAAGCAACAAAGGGGCCTGAAAATGAGCTAATGGAATGAACCCCAGAAATGAGAGAAGCCTTTGCCAAGTTAAAACAGGCTCTCACCCAGGCTCCTGTTCTTGGCATCCCAGATGTAACTGAGCCCTTCTCTTTGTATGTAGCGGAGAAGAAGGGAATAGCTGTGGGTGTATTCCACAGAAATTAGGATCAGAACCCAGGCCAACCAACTACTTTTCAAAGAAGTTGGATGGAGTGGCCTCGGGGTGGCCAAGTTGCCTATGGGCAATAGCAGCCACTGCTATGTTAGTGGAGGAAGCCAGTAAAATTGCCCTGAGCCAACCACTGGAAGTTCTAACCCCCTTGCTAGGTTAAGTCAGTCTTAGAGATAAAGGGATATATCTGGATGAGAGGGGAAAGATTAGCCAAATACCAGGCTATGGCAGTAGTTTTGTGTCAAGTGGGGTTTGACATAGCACTGAGCTGGATATGCAGTAGTATCACAACACAATTATCGAAACCCAGCCACTGCTCCTTGGCACATCAGCACAAAAGGCTGAAATCATTGCTCTTGAGTATTAATGTTGGGACAAGGAAAAAAACAACATCTATACAGATTCCAAATATGCATTTCTTGTAGTTCATGCTCACGCTACAATCTGGAAAGAAAGGGGATTACTAACTAGCAAACAGTCCCCTATAAAGGATGGGCTTGAAATTCTTCAGCTATTGGAAGCAATACACTTGCCAAAGGCCATGCTATAATTCATTGTGGGGCATCAAAGGGACTGAACCCCTACAGCACAAAGGAACAGAAAGGCTGACAGAGAAGCCAAAGCCACAGCCCGCAGAGTGCAATCCCAACAGATCCTAGCACTGCTCGTTTCTATGATTCCCCAGTAGAACCTGAGTACACACTATAGGAAGAATAGTTAATAAAGGAATAAGGGGGACAAAAAGAAAAAAGAAAGGAACCTGGTAGTAGATGGGGTCAAAAATATATCTCCCTCAGACAGCCCAGTGGAAAAGTATAAAAGCCATGCATGCGTCTTTCCATGTGGGGAGGGATGCAACTCTGGCCATGTTAAACCAGATCTTTACTGGGTCTAATGGCTTCAGTGGCTAAGCAGGTCTGCCAAGACTGCTCACTGTGTGCACTTAACAACCCAGGAAACAACATGCCTCCTCTAACAGAACCAGTGCAGAGGAGAGGAAGTTATCCAGGGCAAGATTGGCAGTTAGATTTCATATGCCAGCTTGCAGAGGATATGTGTTTTTTTAGTACTAATAGATAGCTTTACTGGTTGGGTTGAAGCTTACCCTACCACAATAGAGAAGGTTAATGAGGTTATAAAGTTTCTATTAAAAGAAATAATCCCTGTGTTTGGGTTACCTCAGAACCTCCAAAGTGATAATGGCCTGTCCTTTATCTCCCAAATAACTCAAGGGTTTGCTAAGGCTTTTGGAATCAAGTATTATTTACATGTAACATGGAGCCCTCAATCCTCTGGGAAGGGAGAAAGGGCTAACCAAACTCTAAAACCAGTGTTGCTAAGCTATGTAAGGAAACATCAGAAACTTGGGTCAGCTTACTGCCCATAACCCTCTTAAGGATACATAATACCCTTAGAGCAAAAATTAATATAAGCCCATATGAATCTTATTATTCTTGACTAATGATTTAATTACTGATCCAGAAAGGGCTGATTTAGTAAAATACCTAACCAACCTAGGACAATTTCAGCAGGCTTTACAAAAATGGAATTCAAAGGCTTCCCACACCGGGAACAACTAGCAACCTAAAATCAGGCCAGGAGATAAGGTACTTGTTAAAACGTGGAAGGAGCGATCACCAGCTCAGCAATTACAACCAAAATAGAAGGGACTGTTTTCAGTGGTACTGGCCACACCTTCTGCAGTCAAAGTACTAGGATTAGACAGCTAGATACATCTTTCAAGGATCAAGACAGCAATACCAGAAGACCTGGAGCAGGAACCTCAAGTTCCCATCTGTCACTACACTTGTGAACCTGTGGAAGACCTGAAGTACCTGTTTAGAAGACAGCCAAAAGATAAGTAAATGCCTACCAATTTTCCTTGGTGTCTTTGTTGCATAGTTACTATAGGCTAGAGTAACAGTAACCACTTACAATTTTTTTTTCTTTTGCAGTTTAATTGACTTCTTCCAAATGGATGGAATCACTTCCTTTGTAGTAATTATGCAAAATGTTTTAATACATTTCTATAACAAACATTCCTGATGGCATAGGTATCCACCTCCAAAGTTCCCATTATATCTTTTAACCAAATTCATTTCCCCTTGCATTAGAGACTGTCAAGCTTCAGACGATCATGTGACAAGGTTTCCAGCCAGTTCCAGGTGAAGACACCACCCCGGCCATCAAGAAGCCACCCCATCTCCACTAGGCAGAGTAGGGCGAGAGTTCCATGATCTCCAACAGGTAGGGATATGCCCCAAGTCAGCACAGAAAAAAGACCATCAGTCTCTCTGTCTCCCATAAATTTATGGGGATCACGTCTCTCAGTGGGGAGATGAGGCAGGAGAATAGGGTCGGGAGGCAGGGAACCTAAGGACATTTCTCACAGACTTCCTAGAACTAAACTGAAAGGAAAACCGATTTTCCATGCCTAAGTAACAAAAGGACCAGAGGCTACTCCCTTTGCAAACCCTCACCTTTTCTGTGTGTCAGATGGGAAACTGAAAGTACCTCTGATTGTTTCTGCAACCAATCAGACCTTTGCATCAGAATGTAACTTTGTAATTTCACTTCAGCCTCTGATTGGTTGCTTTCTACAACCAATCAGACGCTTGAATAGGGTGTAACCTTCATCACTCTAGCCTCTGAATGGTTGCTGTCTGCAACCAGTCAGACTAATTGCAGGCCAAGTCTTCCTTTGCATATAAGTGCAACTTTGTAACTTCATCTTAGCCTTTGATTAGTTGCTTTCTGCAACCAATCAGATGTTTGCATAGGAGTGTGACCTTTATAACTTACTTCAGCCTCTGATTGGTTGCTTTCCAAAACCAATCAGACTGATTGTGGGCCACCACTTCCTTTACATGAGGTGAACACCAAGTGGCCAATGGGAAACTTCTAGGGGATATTCAGACCTGGGAGGATTCTGCATCTGGGGTGCTTGAGTTGCTGCTCTGCTCACTCACACTGTGGAGTGTACTTTCACTTTCAATAAATCTCTGCTTCTGTTGCTTCATTCTTTCCTTGCTTTGCCATGTGTTTTGTCCAATTATTTGTTCAAAATGCCAAGAACCTGGACAACTTACAGTCAAGACCCTCTGCCAGTAAGACTAGTTGTATCCCTGTACATGAATGGGCTTTCAAGATTTTCCTAGAAGAAAAAGATCAGCTCATTGTCCTTCATTTTTTGAATAAAAACTGATAGCCCAATAGATAAAATATGAGTTACTGATCATCCCTGGAGAGGATTAGAATATGCCACCCCAAAATATGCCACTTTGGCATACAGATTATTTTGAGCTGAAGGCAATTGAGAAACAGTAGACACAGGAAAAGCTCTCTGCCTTTTCCCCTTCTGGCCTAAAAGCAGAGAATAAATTTCCCTTTGGAAATACAACATACAGTTTTATTTATAAAAAGGTGTCCCCTTCTCCTCTACCAGGAAGACCTGAGATGGCACCAAAATGAATCTGCCTAACAAACCTTACTACTCAATTCTTATCTATCATACATTTCATAGTCACCTTCCCATAATTTACTGCCCTTAGGAGCCCAAGTCCCTTTCCTTTGACTAGTCACCTCTCTACAATTTATTACCCTTTGTTAAAACGGTATATAAGCTCCTAAATTTAACCACATCTTTCAGTTTTCACTTATCTGTGAAGCTGCCATGGATGTAAAAATATTAATAAAATTTGTATGCTTTTTCTCCTGCTAATTGTATGTCTTTTATCGACTTAATTTACAGGCCTCAAGTACATAATTAAGAGAGTGGGAGGAAAAGTTTTTTCTCTCCTACACCTCTTTCGCTCTTAGTGTAAACACTACAGATTGGAAATAAAACTTATCCTGAACAATAGGCTTATAAATGCAACTAGTGGCGAGGTACAGTGGCTCACACCTATAATCCTAGCACTTTGGGAGGCCGAGGTGGGTGGATCACCTGAGGTCAGGTGTTCGAGATCAACCTGGCCAACATGGAGAAACCCTGTCTCTACTAAAAATACAAAAATTAGCTGGGCATGGTGGTGCACATGTGTAATCCCAGCTACTCAGGAAGCTGAGACCAGAGGATTGTTTGAACCCAGGAGGCAGAGGTTGCAGTGAGCCAAGATCATCACACTGTACTCCAGCCTGGGCATCAGAGCAAGACTCCATCTCAAAAACAAAATAAATAAAATAAATGCAACTAGTGGTAGATTGAAGCCGACGTATAAAAAATGTTAAACTTTAAGATAAATAGTGGTTCTCAGAACATAACTTAGCTAATATAAAAGCGATTTATAAGCTAACATAGAAGTTGCAACCAGAAGGGGGATTATTTTGGCCAGCAGAACCTGGAAAAATGAATGCCACAGAGGCCAATACCAAAGTATCACTCAGGAAAGACAAGAGTGTAGCTCTGTGATGTAGATGGATATATTCTAATCATAAAACTAACTCTACTTCCTCCAAATTTATGCCCACAAACCAACTTTCTGCTTAACTTTTTCTTGTCTCTTATGTATTTTTAACTTAATCATCTTTAAACACTTTGATAAGAGTTCTTACATTCTCCATAGAAACACTTTGTGAGCTATATGAACTGCAAATATTGCTTCATTGAAAAGATTCCTAGAGTCATGAAAGAAAGCAAACCAAGTGCTAATGTTGTTCATGCTTCACTTATAAAATGAAATGCGTACTATTTATAAATCTAGAAAAAATGTCATAATTTCAGGTTGAATGTTAGAATTTACACAGTAATCTAGTATTTCTGTGGAAGTGTCAAAAAAAGGGCAAAATTATATAGTACAGAGGAGTGAGTGGCTGGAGGCTCTCTAAACAAGGTACCCACTGGATGCCATTATCTTGGTGAGAAAGAAAAGCAGCCACTGACATGAGGAGTTGGCCTGGTTCTTACAGATAGGACTTGGCATTCTCCTGTCAAATATAAGCAATTTCACAGAATATGAGCATTAGACAAGGCTGTGCTGATTCAGCAAGACAAAACACTGTAACCCTCTGTAATCATGTCTCAACAATCCACCAAAACCCGAACATGGTCCAAACCACAAAATGACCAAACATCCCCTATCTTGCCTAAGAATAGTGACTACTGCTTCTTTACCAATTACAATATAAGCCTGAGACTAGTCCGCCCTCCTTCTAGATAAGAGTTATTAGATATCCAATTTTAAGAATTACCCCCTGCTTCCTGACAGCATTCAATCCAGAGCAAAGCTTCACTTCTTTAAAACACTCCCCAAACCACCAAACGCAAGCTAAATTCTTACAAATTTCTTTCCAACCCCCTCTTACTGAGATGTCCCATGATTCCTCATGGTGTGCATTCTCGCTTGCTGCAACAAGGAAATAAACCCAACTACAAGTGTGTTCCCGGTAGTCTTTAGCTGAAGAGCATTGATGCTGGAGAATCCAGAAGAATTCAAGAGCTGGAGACAGCTTACTTGTTAGGACACTAAAAACAGACCTATCTTTCAAGGGTGAATTTATATTAGCCACAGACAGAAACTGATGGATAAATAACATTACTAATTTATTAATTTATGAAAAAGAAAGTTTAGAAGAGTCAGAAAAGGCAAACGTACAGAGTGAGAAAACAGATGAATGGTTTCCTGAAGGTGACTGTGGAAAGGGGGGTTAAATGTTAAAGGGCATGAGGGGTCTTACTGAGGGGTGATAGAAATGTCCTAAAAACTGTATGATTGTGATGATCACACAGCTTGATAAATTTACTAAAAATCATTGAACACTTAAAATGAGTGAATTGCATGGTATGTAAATTATAGCTCAATGAAGTTGTTAAAACAACAATGATAATCTGGAGGAGAACAGCTACTTGAATCCATCCAGCAAATATTCTCCTTCTGTAGATAGCCAATGGTCAACAAAAATGAAAACATGTTCAATCTCATTATTTATCAAGAAACTACAAATTGAAACCTCAATGAGAGGCAGCAATACAAGCATTAAAATAGTTAAAATTTGCAAGACTGACAATTCCAGTGTTGACAAGGATGTGGAACAACTAGAATGCTTATACGCTGCTGATAATAGTTTAAGTTTGTGAAAAATTGTTTGGGACACATATTCCATAACCCAGAAATTCCACTCCTAGCTATAATGCCTACATATATTCACTAAAATATATGTTGACCAAAACAGAACTCAAATGCCCATCTATCGTAAAATGGATAAAGAATTTGTAGTGTAGTTCCATAAAATTACTATTAAGCACAACAACATGTATCCATCTCGTAAATATGACGTTAAGCAAAAGAAGTTAAACAACAAGAACACTTGTATGATTCCATTTATATAAAGTTCAAACACAGGCAAAATGAATCTGGAATGTTGGAAGTCAAGATAGTAGTTTCCTTGTGGGAGCCGTAAGGATGTAGTGAGTAGGAGAGGCTGGGGCTTCTGTATTGCTGGTGAAGTTTATGTCTTGACCTGGGTGGTGGTTATCTGGGTGTGGTCACTTTGTAATAATTCATTGAGCTGCACATTTATGATCTGTATATTTTTCTGTATGTATGTTACCCTGTAAAAGAGTTTACTAAAAGAGATATAATTATTGTGAAAAAGTTGATAATCACTGAAATTGAGTATCGGGTACATGGAAGTTGATTATATCATTCCCTCTATTTTTGTGCATTTGAATTTACGATAAAAACTTAAAATATATATGTATATATATGTTGCACATTTTATATGCATATATGTATACAGTACACATATAGGAATACGTATTTATCTATATTTATTTGTGAATGTTTGAATTGCTCCTTGTCCTGTCAATCTGTTCAAAAGTGAACAAGATTTCCCAGAGACCACAGCAATATGAACAAAGCCAGGTGATTCTTTTATACCAGACATATAAGGTGCTTAGATAACATTAACCAGCAAAAGCAATATATCTAACATGTAAGATGAAAGTCTAAGTGAACATTTTTATGCATGTATTAATATAAATGTATTGACTATATATGTAACTGTAGCTATAGATATATTGAATAAAATGTAGACAATCTGACAGTGTCTTTTTTACAGTCCAAATCCTATTAAAATGAGTTTTGGTGAGGATTACAATTTTTTTGTTTCATGGGAATGTTTTGAATGTTCTAGAAAGAAATAAGATTTAAAAGTCGTTTATGAACAGTGCTCAAGAGAAATAAATACATCATCCTGTACATTTTGTTTTGGACTCCAGGTTAATGATTGCTTTGAGACTTCTAAGTATCACTAGGTATATTTCACTGAAATAAAATGTTGGGCAAACTTTTTGGAAAAGCTTCCATAAAAAGAAACAACAGACCCAGAACAGGATACTATTGCACAAGGAGAGATATGAGGCCTTCACCACTACTGCTCTCAAGTAGCTACTGAATGATCCAAAATACACAAGTTCTACCAAAAGAAAAATATCTAGGAGTAATTTGAGGGTAGGATGTTTATTGAAAATAAAATTTAGACTGAGGGATTTGGGGAGCATGGATCGAAGAAAAATGTATAAAAATAATTCGGCAGAGTCTCACTGTGGTCATGCTTTTCTTGAGAGCGGACTTGAGAACTTTATGCCTATGTGAGAGGAACTTCACTATCGTATCTTGGTTAACCAGCACAACTACCAATAAATACTTGTTTAAACATTTTAGACACCTGATATCAAACATAATAAACCCTGCAAGCGAGCAGGAACATGTTGACTTCCCCATGTTTTTCCTCTCCATACCTGTGGTCATGAGAATGAGATGGTTTGAATGACCTTTTATTCCCTGAGAGGTTCTTAACTTTGTTGTGCATGAGAATTACCATATAGAATGGAAGCTGAAACTTCAACATACCGCATATTGAAAGCCATTTAAAGAACTTTTAAGGGAACTGTTGGCTTTCACAATTTTTGCCAAATGTGCTGACTTTAAAACCTAATACCCAATTCAGACACACTCCACTATAGTTGTGGCCTCTAGCTGGGGTTGTTAGAATACAGCATTATCAGTTACATTTAAATTTCAGAAAAGGCCGGGCATAGTGGCTCATGCCTGTAATCTCAGCACTCTGAGAAGCTGAGATGGGTGGATCACGTGAGGTCAGGAGTTCAAGACAAACCTGGCTAACATGGTGAAACCCTATCTCTACTAAAATTTATCCAGGCATGGTGGCACATGCATGTAATCCGAGCTACTCAGGAGGGTGAGGCAGGAGAATCGGTTGAACCTGGGAGGCAGAGGTTGTAGTGAACCAGTATTGCACTACTGCACTTCAGCCTGGGCAACAGAGCAAGACACTGTCTCAAAACAAAACAAAACAATAAATTTCAGTTAAATAGCAAACACATTTTTAGTATAGGTATGTCCCATGTTTATTTGGGCCATAATTATTAAACAATTATTTGTTGTTTTATTTCCTAAATCTGGATTCATGGTTTATAATGTTTATAGTAAAAGATTCAAAAGGCACCCACACAATTTAGATGCATTGAAGTAAAACTCTGGGAGGTAAACACTTGCAATAAAATTAAGTTATTACATAATAGTAAGAAACAGATGATCTGTTCCTATATAAAAATGCACAAAGGACATGAAGAGACAGTCACACACCAAAAAAAGACACACGAATGGCAAAGTGCATTTAAATATTCAGCCTTACTGTATTAACATAATTAACAGTTTATAAGAAAACCAAAAAAATATTTTTTAAAGCTACTAAGAAAGCAATGGTAATACCCATCTTATTTCACATCCTGATCATGAGTGCTTTTTTGTTTTTTGTGTTCGTTTTTGAGATGGAATCTTATTTTGTCACCCAGGCTGGAGTGCAGTGATGTGATCTCAGGTTACTGCAAGCCTTAATCTCCCAGTTCAAGCAATCCTTCCGCTTCAGCCCCTCAAGTAGGTGGGACTACAGGCATATCCCACCACTCTTGGCTAATATTTTTGCATGTTTTGTAGAGATGGGGTTTTACCATGTTGGCCAGCTGGTCTTGAACTCCCGAGCTCAAGTGATCTACCTGTCTCCACCTCCTAAAGTGATAGGATTACAGGCGTGAGCCACTGTGCCTGGCCTGTGATGAGTGTTTAATAGCCTTTCTGTAAGATAGTTTGGCATTATGTATTTTTTTTAAGCCTTAAAAATATGCAATTTGAAAGAACAATTATACTTCTCAGGATCTGTCCTAGGGAAACATTTAGAATATATGAAAAAATTTAGCTCCAAGTATGTTCATCAGTATGTTTTTATCAGTAAAATACAGAAACCAGCTGGCATAGTGGCCTGTATTAAGGAGTTGGTTAATGCTTCAAAAAAACCTTGTTAATCTGACATAGGGGCCCATATGCTGGTATGCATCAGTGTGCCTTTGACATTAATGATTAATTTATAGAGAAACTGAACATATTTTATCTCTCAAAATCAGCCCACACAATCTTACTTGTCCACCTCTTCCGTGATAGTCCCTGGGCCTTCAGGAGTTGAATAGCTTTAACTTTTGGCCCTGTGTTTCAGGAATGCAGTTTATTTTGATTGCATCTTCTACTGGGCCTGAAGACAGGTCTTCAATTACTGTCAGCATTTAAAATTTAGCAGGACTTGATGTCTTTTTTAGTCCCAGGAGTCAAAGCCCTGTAACTCAATGTCACAAGTACTTTAAAAGTGCATACAGAAAGATACATGGATGTAATAATCTTAATTTAAAAAAATTTTCAAATCTCAATTTTTTTCCTAAGCAAACCAAAACTTAGTAATGATGTGACAACGTGATCATATAAAAGTTTTTGGCTTTCTAAAAAAAAATAAATCCTCTTATTGTGATTTACACAGACTGTTCATCACATGCTTTGACTTTCTGGTTTGTCCTGAACATCCCTCTTTCTTAAACAACCAGTCATTTTACTCTAGGACTAAATTTACCCTACAAGATTCTTTTTCTCATATGAAATTATTTCTCTTGAAGTTCCTCCCAAAAACAAACAAACAAACAAAACCCTCTTTATTTTTATAACTTTCTTTACATCTCTTTTATTTACTGGTTCCTTTTACCTTGTTTTATATATGATCTTTAAGCTTTGAATTAGAAAAAAAATTGTTCACCTTTTGTAAAAGGACATACTCTTTTTAAGAAAGAATGTTTTCCTACAAATATATTTTTATTGGAAAATACCCTAATAATAAAATATTTATAATTTAACTTAAGATTCTAAATTATGAATTTGTCTACAAGTATTTGTCCCATTACATTTACCTAATTATTTTATTTTAAGTTTTTACCTAGATTGTTTATGAAAACTGTAATGGTCATCATTTAAAGTTATGGAATTGCCATTGCAAAATTGTAACTGAGACAGTGAAAAAGATTTGACCTAACTGACTCTATCTTGCTTTTAACTTCCAAGCTGTCTTTCTCATTCCTAGGCATAGGCCAAACTGCCTTTGGGAGGAACTTAGTTTATAGTTTAGCTTGAAACAAAGATGGTAACAAACCTTACTGCCCATGGACTAGGCCACCTAAAGCCATAAGATTGGAAGTTATGGTAATCTTACTAAATTTAAGATGAAGCTATTTTTATTAAACAAATATCAAACTTTAATAAGTCTTACTTATTAAAGATTACTCAAGCAAAGATCATTCTATTCTGAGCTGGGTTTATAGTTTTGTAACCTCTATGCCAAATTTTGACACTTTATAGTATCTGGCAGGGATAAGTATGAAGTTGCTTGATTAATAAATGCCAACAAAAATGTACACTGGCAATTCTTAAGACATTTATAATATTACTTTACCAATAAATAATAATTTTAGCTTATTTATTAAAGATTTTAGTTAAGTTAAACTGGAAAAAGCATTTGACTAATCTTTTCTTTTTCCCTGATAAAGTATTTGATTCCAGTGCTTTTGTTTTCTTAAGCCAATTCTTTTTTATATATTTTCAGTAGTAAAACATTGTGTACACAACACATAAATACATAGACACTTTAGGCATGCCAATAGAATATTATTGATTTATAAAAAATACAGTCTTATAGATCTATATCTTATAGATTTATAAAAAAACTTTTTTTAACCTGTTTCACAATCCTGAGCAGTTGTCAGCAAAATAGCCTTAAATTTATATATTAAAGGAAAACACTCAGGTGAAAATCAAATAGCAAAATTTACATCATAAGGTACAGAGAGAAAAAGTCTGGTGGTGCTAAAGGGAGATTAAGGACGAATGCCAAATCAAACATAAAGTCATAGAAATCTATCAGAGGATTGTATAAGGAGACCAGTTTTATTTAGATAGGGACTACCTATCTTTTAACTGGATCTCTGAGTTCTGGGCAGAACCCACATTGAATCCTGGGTCTCCAAAAAGGGAGAATTATTATGAGGCTAGACCATGTGATGCTCTCATGGTATACTTAAAGAAAAATAAAATTTTTAACAAAGATATTTCTAAGTGTCTAAACCACACTCTTCCTTAAAAACCCATGAGTAACCTCTGTGGCAGTAACTATTTTAGTTGGGGAAAAAAAAAAAAAAACCACGCCAGGTAACACAATACAAAAGTAAGCAGTCTAAGAGCTCAGGTGAACTTACCTGTTTACATTCTTGGGGTTCCATAAGGAAAAACAAGTTTCTCCCTCCAAAAGAGTCTGATACCTTCTCAGTTTTCTTTAAGGAACCTCAGGCTATTATAAACTATTTTAGGTCACTCATGCAAAAGAGAGTGCAAGAGAAAGGAGACACAGCAGAAGTAAATGAAGAAAACAGAATTCAGTCAACTGAGAAGAAAAAAACTTTTGCTGATAAAAAGACAAGGTCCTAGGAGAAAACTAAAAACAACAACATGAAGGCCTTTTAAATACAAACACACATATGTACACATACACACACACACTTCTTGGATGTTAGCTTTTAATTAAGTTGACTTTTAATCATTGAGCTTCTTTTAAAAAATCTTTTTAAATCTCATTACCATATTTTAGCTAGGACAAATTGCTGGTATTTCAGAAGTACAGCCATTGCCCCCTTGGTTTGGTCTGGCTAGCAAAAAGGTGGTCTTGTTATGTAAATCAAGCCCCTTAGTAATCAAAATCTAAAATCTTTCCTCTTTTTTTTTTTGTTTCCTTTTGCTGGCTATTTGTCTCCCTCACCATACCACCGTGTGTGTGTGTGTGTGTGTGTGTGTGTGTGTGTGTGTGTGTGAATTTAGCCACTTCAGAGGCCTTGTTCCCCATAATTTGGAACTTTCCTTTTGATTTGATCATGCCAGATAGAGTTGCTCAAACCCAATGTGGAAAAGACTGAAACAACAAGAAGAGAAGCAAACAACAACAACAAACCAGTTAAGCAAAACAAATGATCGCACAACTCATATGACTACTGAGCGCTCTAGTGGCAAGGAGAAATTAAGACAAGCTGGTCCTTAATCTTAACTTTAGCCAAGACAAACCCCAATTCACTTTCTTGCCCCGAGGGTTGGATCTCAGGCTGAAGACAGCTCTCTACCACCCTAGACGCAGGAGAAAAACCTCATCTTTCTTGTTGGAAGTGGGCTTAAACTCCATAAAGGAGTTACCTGCCTTCCACCATTATATAAGCAGGAAAAACTTGCCTTCCTTGTCACAAGCAAGTAAAACCCCCAAAAAAGAGAGTTTTACAGCAAAATAAACTTTAGATCTCGACCAAATTTTGGGAGATCAGGGATTCCCTGGAGGGGGTGCTCCCAGACCTCAGCAAATTGTCCTATTGGTTTGAGTTATAAAGTTAGCTCATGCTGGTACCAAGAACCAATAGGAGATTTGTCAAAGGTCAGAGGCGTCTCCACTCAGAATCCCTTCATGGTTACCAAAATTGGAACCCAAAAATTTGAGACAGGTCTCAGTTAATTTAGAACGTTTATTTTGGCAAGGTTGAGAACACGCACCGGTGACACAGCCTCAGGAGGTCCTGATGACATGTGGCCAAGATGGTCGGAGCACAGTATGCTTTTATACATTTTAGGGAGACATGAGACATCAATCAACATATGTAAGATGAACACTGGTTCAGTCCAAAAAGATGGGACTACTCAAAGTGGGGAGGGGTCTTCCAGGTCATAGGTAGATAAGAGACAAATGGTTGCATTCTTTTGAGTTTAGGATTGGCCTTTCCAAAGGAAGCAATCAGATGCGCATTTATCTAAGTGAGCAGAGGAATGACTTTTAATAGAATGGGAGGCAGGTTTGCCCTAAGCAGTTCCCAGCTTGACTTTTCTCTTTAGCTTAGTCATTTGGGGGTCTAAAATTTTATTTTCCTTTCACATTTCCCTTCTTTTCTTTTTAAAATTTTTTCAGAAAAAGCATTTTAGAAGAAAAAGAGTCTCTGGTCTTCATCAGTTTTCATCTGATTTCTCATGGCTAGGATGATATATTCCTAGAAGTGTAGGACTCACGTTAATAGGAAAACTCATTTTTAACAGGTTGTGAAGTTTCACATCCTGTGAAGAGCAAATAGTGGGAGAAAGTGGAAAAACAACAACAAATGAAAAGATACAAATTCTGGAAAATTGATATAAGCCCTGTAGCTGAAGTTCATACTTCAGTAGGCGGGCATGGAAGTGGCTTATGTATGTAAACAAGTTGCTGTTATTTTCTTTCAAAGTTTAAGTTGCCTAGCTTCAGTTTGTAGGGCTTTAAGAAAGCACAGCTTAATTTGCAGTGATTTAAAATTAAGGAAAATTCAAAGAAATCAAAGAGAAGAAAAAAATGGAAAACATTATATTGGGAACTGGTAGCCACAAAAAGTTTTAGAATGTAGTCTTGTGATATTGTGCTGGCCTAGAGCCAGAACCAGAGCAAAACTATTTTATAAAATGCAAAACTGTTTTTAGATAAGTTGAAATGGCTGCCCCATTCTCCTCACAATAACTACTAGCCTTGGCTACTGTAAATAAAACTGCTAGTTTGCTTTGCAAACTAGCCACTATGTAAAGCTGCTTACCTTTTTCTTATCAGTAACTGCCAGAATTGCTAGCCTTTGCTTACCGGCAATTGCCAGACTAAGCAGCCCAAGCTAGTTCCATCCTGTCTCCTGTGACTTGTAATAAGTAACTAAGGTCTGTGATTTCCACCTTAACCAGATAATGTGTAA